GAGCCTGGGGGTGGGGTGGGAGGGAGAGGAGAAAGAAGGCCTTTGACAGCTTGTTTGGGAAGAGATAGCCCTGCTGGATGGGATTCCTCACACTGAGCCCCTCCATACCCCTCAACCCTTCCTTTCTAAACACCCATGCTCCTAGCTTCCTTTCTTGTTCCCTCCCCCCACATCCTCAAGGCCCTTGCCCTGACTCCTACAGTCCTGCACTGCCAGGCCCTAACCCTGAAGGACCTAGGCAACGGAGGGTAAATCTTCTAATGTCTTTTATAACTTGAATGATGATCTATAGTATGCATATTTTACCAATAGCTAAAAACTGAGAATTATTAGGTTGCTGTATATATACTACTAACACAATGATTGTGATAATGATTTTCATTCATATAACATCATTTTTCCAGTATGTTCCCAAAGTACATTGAATCAGCCATTTAAAATCCAGAATAATTTCTCTGCAAATACCTGTGCTTTATAACTATATCCTGGTCCACAGAGGATAAAATTTAAAATTTCCATCCTCTCTCATGTAAAATCCATGGTTTGTAAATAATAATATTAGAAAAACAGTTGTAAACAGATGACAATAGTACTTCAGCATTTATGCAGCTTTATGTTGAGAATACACTTTTATGCACAAACTTTGAATAATTCAGTTGTTTTGATTTCCAAATACAGCATTCCAGAGAGAAGGGGTTATGTAAATTTGTATTTCTGTGTATTCTTAAAAATGTATTTTCCTTTTCTTTTAGTCAAACTATCTCAAAATCCAAGTTCAGGTCAGTATTTTCCTCTCTTTTTTCATCACTTTTTTCCTTGTGATAGTTTACACATCATTCTGTATTTTCTGTAGTAGAATTTGATTGGATGAAAAATGTTACTGATGAGATATTAGAGAATATAGTTGAAGAGGATTCAGGAACTTTATTGGAAAAGTGCTTTAAACTATCAGTTAGATTTTTGGTATTTGTAACTTCACTTATTTTCAAAAATTTGGGCAAGGGAATTTTTATTTACAAGAATGCTCATTGGAAAACAAGTAAAAGCAAGAATAAACAATCATGATATTGACTCCTCTGTCACTTTCATTGTGGAAAGTTCTTTATTTTTTTCATTTGCATAGAACATGTATTGAGAAATTGCATATATAGGTTGAACCTGCCTCGTCCAGCACTCTCGGGACCTCTATAGTCTCGAAACAAGGAATTTGCTGTACCGGGGGAGGTCAGTGCTAGCCCCTCCAATGCCACTTTCTATGGAGCACTGCTTCAGTAGCAGCAGGTGGGCCGGTATTGTTGGGGTGGGGATACGTGGTAGTGCTTAGAGGAAGAGGCAGGTTGGCGATGGGGCCTTGTGGCCAAGGGTTAGGAATGTAACCCTACTGCCATTGGGCTCTGATTCTGTCCCTTGCTGACAGCTGAAGGAGTCCACTGCTGCCCTGCCTCTTCTCCTGTGTGCTCCCATCTCCATTCCTTCTCTTCTCCTTTGTGAGCTTGAACATTGCAAATCAGCTATTTGTGATGCTCCTGAAACTCTGAAAGGATAGGGGAGGAGGTGTTGAGCGTGGAGCCCCTGGCTTTGTCCTGTGAGCGCTCCAGCCTAGGAACACTCATGGATGCCAGACCACAGATGTTGCTGGAAGAGGGAAGTACAGATTATAGAGATCCAACCTGTAACAAACAAATTTGCAAACAGAAAATAGACTCCTGCTTATAAAGGTCAGGTTGCTCAATCACAGAACAAAAACAATGCCGTCTAACTTAGGTGGCCAGTTATGTGGCACATACAACGAATTGTGGATTGCAGATAGTCATAATGACCAGTTTGCAAACAATCTCCAGGCTATTTTTCATAGACATCAATTGAACAATAGAGATAATCAAGAAGATAATTGAGAAGGTTCTAACAAAGCAACTCTGGAAGCTGGATTCCTCCAATTTCCTCGTTCGTGGTAAAACTTGTTTCAGGCTTGGATCAGTAGCAACACTGATGAATTGTGGTTTTAACAGCTGACATGCATATCGTGTCCATTCTATTAGATCTAACAGCTGCTTTGTTGCTGCTGACTACAACATCTTTCTGATGTGCCGGTTATGGCCAATAAAAGTGGCCCTTTTCTTTTGAGTGCTTTCGAGTGGCCTTTTTCTTTTTAAATGAAAGATCCCTAAGTGTAGTTGTAGATGATTTTCTTCTGCCTTGGAAGTCTTTTCATGTGCGATGTGGTGTGGTTTCATCATGTCAGTCCTACAGCTCAACGTATATGTCAATTCACTGGTAGATTAATGAAGAGACATTGAGTTCATATGCCAATGATCCTAAATTCTGTGTTCCATTGCTTCTGGCCCTGCCAGTGAAATGGAACAAATGCATGAGATTATGGCTTTTTAAAGAGTTGAGGATCACACAATAGACGCAGGAAGCACAGATAGATTATGGAAAGCAATTTGGAAGAGCTGGAGTGGATTATGTCTCACCCGGATCAAGGTCAAGTGTTGCCATTTGTTATGCAGCTTTACAATTTGGAATCTTGTTAGAAATAGGATTACTTATGCATAATCAACAAGTAGGCATGGCCCAGAGTGCCTTTTTATCTGCATTTGTGAGAAAATAGTGTCCATTTCTTTCAGACCCATGTTTGTGCCATCTTGAGAATAGATAACTGCATTGGGCAGTTATCTCTCTTCACCTTAGCAACTTCTAAATCATGCTTGATATTAAATTTGTCTCCAGTTAATACCACAAATCAATATCTGCTCCTGTGAAGCTAGCTGTAATCTACTATTCAAAGGGGAATATCTGCATCTGAAATGCCACCAGAGACTTCAGAAACCGTAGATTCAAAACAGATAGAGTATTGTTAAGACATCTCCTTTTTGAATTTGGCCCTTTACAACAGAAAATCGTAGAAGCTCTAGAGGAAAAGCAAGCTAACAACTCACTCTGAAATACACCCATTCTGGTAAAAGAGAACTGTGAGCTTCTAAGACCTCTACCAAATGACACTATGAACACATCCTTTGAGGAGGAAAAGTTCCCACCACACCTGAAGCTTATCATAATCCAGTCAGTATGTAAGGAACTAACTAATGCAACCAACCAGTATGTAAGGAACTAGCTAATGCAACCAATCTCTCCACCACTGCCCATTCCCAAGCAAATTTACTGAGTAGATCACCAGTAATTTGTAGGCTTTCTCTAGATTCTACTGGTATTCTTGGATACCTCTGAGACAGGTATATTCTGAAATATGGAACAAAATCAGTGCTCATGGCACTGAAGTTTGACATCCTCTTGGTCATAGGCAAGGGCCGTACTGTCATATTGCTGGATCTTGGAACAGTATTTGATATTGTCAGCTATTGAATGTTGCTTTCCCACTTCAGAAGCTCACTGGGTGGGGGGGTTATTCAGAACATACTAAAAGAGCTTTAGATGTTCCCAAAAGGCATTATGGTCATTAGCTCCTACATCTCTAGAACTCTGATTTGTAGTTATCCTACAGAGATCTATCTGCTTCTCCAGCCTTTTCTTCGTCTCATGAAACTGCTGGGGAAGTTGCAAGGCAGCATGGATTGAAGAGCCAGTCGTAGCCAACTCTACATTACCATCAGGTCTGTCTGACTTCAACAGTTGTTGAGAACAGGAAGTGCTTTGAAGAACTATTCACTTATGTAGCACTAGGCTCAACTGGGGATGTCTGCCTTTTTATTATTAAAATAATTTTCAAATTAATTGTTCTCCTCATCTCCTCATCGCTCCCAGATACCTAAACAAACATGATTGCGAAATTCTCCTTTTCACCTATCAATGTCAAGAAAAAAGACTGCACCCCACTCTTTTGGATTTGGACCTAAAACCAGTAATCTGCATATTTGTGATCCTCAGGTTTGACTACTGTAATTCTCTATGTTTAGGAATGGAATCACTGATCCCTAAAGATCTATATTTAATTCAAAACACAGCAGCCTGTCTGTTCAGTAGCAGAGATTACAAATCACATGTTGCTTCTGTATTCAATTCTCCTTGGATTCCTGATAAGCATTGAGCCAAATTCAAGTTTTCAATCATCATGTAACTCCTCTGTGAGGCTGGTTTGTTTTCTGAGAGACCATCTTTTCCTGCACGATCATCACCTCCCACAACAGCTGTCTTTTTGAACAGTGGCACAATCAGTCTCTAGAATCTTTCTCAGCAACTGGCTCACTAATCTGGAAGTTACATCCAGAAGAGATCAGGTTGACCATGATTCATTGCCTTCAAATCAAAAGGTAAATCTTACTTTTCCAACCTAACTTACCCAGAATAAGACAAGAAACAAAGAAAGCCGAAGACAGTCAGATCTTCCTATGCATATTTCTGTAAATTTATAATGTAAGGAGATGCCATGTTAATGAGTGTAGTATAAAGTCCTAGCTAGAGGTATAATGCAGCTGCCTACTTATTAGGTGGATATGTATAGGAAAAGCATTTTACGTTATTGTGTCTATGACCTCCAGTGTCTGCCTACTGGCTTCCAGATGGAAATTAAGGTTTGGGGTTTCCACTGTAAAAGCCCTAATTGGGTTGGAACCTAATTTCTCTCTCACTGTACAAAACTGCCACAACTGTGGTCAGTGGAAACACTTATGCAGAGGATGTCATCATTCAAATGGAAGGGAGCTTGTGCTTATACTTTCCCATGCCTTTCTAAACTCCACTCCAATTCATCTGATGAAGTGGGTTTTACCCATGCAAACTTATGCTGTAATAAATCTATTAATCTCCAAGATGCTAAAGGACTCCTCATTGTCTTTATCAGACTGTAACATTTAAAATTTCAGTTTTCCTCTTGAAAAATAGGAAGATAATGAAAATGGCTTCCATTATTTTCAAGTTGAAATTTGCACAGGTTTTTCTGAAGATGCATCATAATGGGACAATATCAGACTTTGATGTTCCCCTTTTATCTTTGTATGTGCAATTGTGAACATTTTAGGAAAGGAAGAAAATATGTGCTATGCTCCTCAACTGATACTTTGTGTTGTTTTAAGCTTAATTCACACTAAAACCTGGAAACCCTTACATATGATGTGTAAAATTGCACACCCCCGGGGCTGCATTTTCAGAATCATATATATATAGTAGCCCAATGTCTGTGACTCTGTAACACTGTAGTGTTATGTCTTGCCTCTGGGGGGCGCTGTTGCCTCCCGCCGTGGTGCTCGGCTGCCTTCTGCGCTGCTCAGCCGGGCAGCTGCAGGGGAGCAAATGTAGCAAGCGGCTGTTTGAGCTCCATGCTCCCCATGCAGCACGGGGACCGCGGAGCCCAAACAGCCGAGAGAGGCAGGGGGGGGGGAAGAGAAAGAGAGACGGAGAAAGAGGGGGAGGCGGAGGAGAGCTGAGAGCGAGAGGGGGGAGGCAGGAGGAGGAGGAGAGAGAGACGGACATGGAGGAGAGACCTGAAAATCCCTTTTTATGACGGGCTATTGGCTAGTATCACCAAGATTATCTATACTCTTTCTGCCAATGGTCTTTGGTCTAGGCCCTAAATCTGTAAACACTGAACGTTTTGTAAAGAATGTTGTCACTTTATTACAAAACTTCCAGGCTGTGTCTACACTGGGCCACTTATTCTGCAAAATCAGCCGCTTTTCCAGAATAAGCTGCGAGCTGTCTACACTGGCCCTTGAATTTCCGGAAAAGCAACGACGTTGAACTGTACAAAATCAGCCACTATTCCAGAAAAACTATTCTGCTCCCGCTCGGGCATAAGTCCTTATTCTGGAACACTGTTCCAGAAAAGGGCCAGTGTAGACAGCCCAGGAGTCTTTTCCGGAAAAAAGCCCCAATCGTGGAAATGACGATTGGGGCTCTTTTCCGGAAAAGCACGTCTACATTGGCCACGGATGCTTTTCTGGAAAAAGGGCTTTTCCGGAAAAGCAGCCTGCCAGTGTAAACGCTCTTTTTCCGGAAATACTTATAATGAAAACTATTCTGTTTTAAGCATTTCCGGAAATTCATGCCAGTGTGTAGACAGCGCCACTGTTTAAGGTTTTAGGGGCTGATCCAGTGACCAGCACCCTTTTGATTGACTTCCTAGATCAGGTGGTTGGAAATGACCAAGAATCATCCCAACTCTTCTGAGTGATCAAGCTCTTGGAGCTTTATCATTTTTTAATTGACTTCAGCAATGCAGAATTGTGCCCTAAGAGTAAAAAATACTGGATTTTGTACATCCAGTCAGTGAGAATACTGATGATGGCTAAGTACACAATGTAGTTGGCAAGAGTGCTCATGAACACACTGTCACGTTAGTTCAGTGCAGGGATTTTTCTTCATATGTTTATTATAGTTCAGAGGCACTGAAACTTTTCCATAATTGCAACTGAGCAATTTACTATTTTCCATAATTAGGGCTCCATCTCTGTCATGGAGATCACAGAAGTTATAGATTCCATGACTTTGCACGACCTTCAAGACATTTGCAGTGGCCAGTGTGGCTCTGGTGCCATCTGCACAGTTGACACTGTGGACAGCCACACTAGCTGTTGGAGTGGCTCTGCAGCCAGCTGCACAGGTGGCTCCAGGGCCAGCCACATTGGCCAGTACTCAGGCAGCCACAAACAGTATTTGGTGCAGCTGGCTCTGGGAAGCACTCAAGCAGCAGGTATGGTGGCTGGAGCACCCACTGGTTGGTGGCCAATGGAAGCAGTCTCTGGAGCAGCCAGAGTAGCTGCTGCTTGCTGGCCCCCAGCAGTGGTCCCAGGGTAACCAGGGCAGCTGCTATTTGGTGGCCCCCACAGCTGGTGCCACTGGGCCCCCTCAAGCAGAGCCCCCTGAGCAGTGACCTCTCCCCTCAAGATTTAATCAGGAATATTTATAGTATAAATCATGGACTGATCACAGGCTTTGAATTTTTGTTTATTGCTCATGACTCGTCCATGACTTTTGCTAAAAATGCCCGTGACTAGTAGCCTTATCAATAATCACAAGCATGAGTTTAAGGTAAATGAAGGAACCTCACACACTGCTTGACTGTTTGTTTTGGCCAGTTCATTTATTTTTAGGAAGACACCACTACATTTCAGATCTACCACCTGAGGCAGATTTTAACATTTCTAATTTTATGTATACTACGTATGATACCTGTTAATCCAGAGCAGCAGAGGTACATGGGGTTCGTCTACACTTGCTCCCTAGTTTGAACTAGGGATTCAAATGTAGCCGACCAAAATTGCTAATGAAGCGGGGATTTAAATATCCAGCGCTTCAGTAGCGTAATCTTGCCTGTGCACTATTCCGCTCGCCAGGTGATTCGAACCAGGAAGTGCGCTCCAGGATGCATTAGTTCAAAAAATGAGGAGTAATGTTAGTTTGAACCAATGCGTTCTGGAGCATACTTCCTGGTTTGAATCAGCTGGCGAGCGGAATAGCGTGCAGGCGAGATTATGCTAATGAAGCGTGGGATATTTAAATCCCCGCTTCATTAGCAATTTTGGTCGGCTATATTTGCATCCCTAGTTCGAACTAGGGAGCAAGTGTAGATGTACCCTAAGACTTTTCATATCATTATTAGTAGCAATTTATTTAAATATTGTAGAGTATAAACAAAAACAAAAAATAATGTTTATGATCAGAAATAGCATCAGCCTAAGAATTTCAGTTGTAAAGTGCATTACAGTATATTGGACAAGGGCAAAAACTACACCCCTATATTCAAGCTCTTCCCCTTCTGAAAGCAACTGCAGCTCCCACTGCAGTCATGGGAGTTTTTCCACTAACTCCACTGGGTTTAGATAGGGACATTGGCATGGGGCACTCAGATTTGTTATCCAAATCCACTTCTGTGGATCTATCTATCTATCTATCTATCTATCTATCTATCTATCTATCTATCTATCTATCTATCTATCTATCTATCTATCTATCTATCTATCTATCTATCTATCTATCTATCTATCTATCTATCTATCTATCTATCTATCTATCTATCTATCTATCTATCTATCTATCTATCTATCTATCTATCTATCTATCTATCTATCTATCTATCTATCTATCTATCTATCTATCTATCTATCTATCTATCTATCTATCTATCTATCTATCTATCTATCTATCTATCTATCTATCTATCTATCTATCTATCTATCTATCTATCTATCTATCTATCTATCTATCTATCTATCTATCTATCTATCTATCTATCTATCTATCTATCTATCTATCTATCTATCTATCTATCTATCTATCTATCTATCTATCTATCTATCTATCTATCTATCTATCTATCTATCTATCTATCTATCTATCTATCTATCTATCTATCTATCTATCTATCTATCTGATATGATCAGACATAATCAAGATCACACAGGAAGCTCTGGTGGAAGCAGAGAACAAACTCAGGTCTCCCAAATCCCATTGGACCATCCTTCCCCTCTGAGTGAAACTCAGAACTAGATCTGGCCTAATTTCCAACTCCAATTTATATGCATCAAATGTCCCATGAGCATGTGCACTCATTGTCATAGGATTTCAGCCTAAATTGGTAGAATTTTTAGGAACTCTTGATGCTATGAAAGTTCCATCATTATAGGGAAGTTTCTCACAAGTTCATCTTATAACATTCCCACATTGTTTAATGCAAACCCAAACTGTAATCATAGTTCAACCTGAAATGCAAATTCTGATTCTTAAATTAAACTTAATCTGAAGCCAGATCTAGTTTATTTAGGTATATCTAATTAAGCAATAAAATGTAATTTGATGTTCTTGGTCATAGGATATTGAGCTGGCTTTGACAAATGCCCTAATTTAGTGATGTCACAATCTAGTAAACTGGTACAAAGATTGCATGGGTTATACAGAAATATTAAAGACTCATTTGTTAAAGTTTTCATTTTTTTTCTTTTTATTTGGCTCTGAACTTGAACAAAATTATCATCTTTGTAGCTGCACTTGGTAGTAATACACAAATCTGCTTTCTAGATTTCTTTCATTGTTTTATATGTACACAGATATATATACACCCACAAATCTTTCTCCCAACACAGATCTTTAAATTCAAAGACTGTAATATTTTTCAAGGGAATAATGCATTTGTTTTTGTTCTAAATTTCAGTCGACGCTGGCGTCGCTGGAACCGATTCAATCGAAGAAAATGTAGAGCTGCAGTAAAATCTGTTTCATTTTATTGGCTGGTTATTGTCTTGGTCTTTCTGAACACATTAACTATCTCTTCTGAACATTACAATCAACCTGACTGGCTGACACAGATCCAAGGTACAAAGACCATTTTCCATGTTTTTGACTACAGAAAATTGAAAATGCTCCTTGATTACTTCTGCATTTTGCCATTTGGTAGTTAATTTGCTATCTTAAGTACTTCCAGCTAAAGAAATTGATAGGGCATGGCCAATGTTTTCTATTTCCACAGCTGCAACACAGCTTAATGAGATAATTTGCAGGCAAAAACCTTCAGTGCCAAATTGTAAACATGTGCCATTATACTTTAGACATATTACCATTATCAAGCCATGTGATTAAAGATAAGGAAGGACAAATGTTAATTTGCACAGCAGAATAGGCTGTGAATCATTTTGTCTTAATTCTAGTCTGGGTTTGAGCTATGTTTTTAGCAATAAATTAGAATGATGTAACATTAATGGTGTCAAATACAAAGGAAGCAATGTGTATTTCCCTCCAGAGAGATAAGCTAACTGGCACAGAAAATGGATAGAAGTTAGTGAAAATATGAGAACTACAAAATAAATAAAAAATATTTGAAACATTATAGTTTTCTGAATGTTTTGTTCCAGATATTGCAAACAAAGTACTTCTGGCTTTATTCACCTGTGAAATGTTAATAAAGATGTACAGCTTGGGCCTACAGGCTTATTTTGTATCCCTCTTTAACCGTTTTGATTGCTTCGTCGTTTGTGGTGGCATTGTTGAAACCATACTGGTGGAGTTGGAAATTATGTCACCCCTGGGAATCTCAGTGTTTCGATGTGTTCGTCTTCTACGTATTTTTAAAGTCACAAGGTAAGATTATGAAATAATGCATTTCCCTGTTGCTAATTTTAGGGGTACTTGTATGGTGATCAGAAACTCTGTTGTAATATTTCATCACGCACTGTTCTTTTACAGTTTTTTTTTGTGTTAACACACGCATTTTAATTTATAGGCACTGGACATCCCTGAGCAACTTGGTAGCATCCTTGTTAAACTCAATGAAGTCCATTGCTTCACTGTTGCTTCTGCTTTTCCTCTTCATCATAATCTTCTCATTGCTTGGAATGCAGCTGTTTGGAGGCAAATTTAATTTTGATGAAACTCAAACAAAACGGAGCACCTTCGATAATTTTCCACAAGCTCTTTTAACTGTATTCCAGGTAACTTTCTTTCACCCCCTATGAAACGTTTTGCCTTTGATGATCAACAAAAATGTTTAGGTAATTTTGTCTCCTGAAAAAAAATCACAAATACTACTTATTCTGTTTACTTTAAGTAACATTCTGCTCATTATATTCAATATTCTGGTAATTTTGCATCATTTGTATCATTTGTTCCATATCTTATTTGATCTATCTATGCAACATAGCTTTCATGTTACTTCATTAAATTAAATATTCTTTGTCCATCAAAGACACAACTAGAAATAAAAGCTGGAAGTTATGTAATGTGAAATAATGTTTTTCCTGTAAGCTTGTTAACTTTGTATTTTGTGGGAGATGCATGTTCAACTAGTTCTTAGTAGGATACATTGAAAAACATTTTTAAAATATATATCTGTGTGATTCATAGCATGTCATATAATACAAAAACAAAGTATGGATTTCTTTAAAAGGACACTATACGTTTCTTTTAAAAAATCTTATCTGTGTTACTAGTAATTAACTATTAAAACCAAAAGAATTCTTACAATGTAACCTATTTTTTTTCATTGTTTATGGTGTTTATTTACATTTTGCATTTCTCTCAACTAGGACAATAAAATTAGGATAGTATCTTTCATTGTTTATTCTAGTCATTTTCACATTCAGGGTTGTAGGCATTAGCATAGAAGTGCAGTGCTTGGTTTGGGTGAATATTTGGGTCTGTGTGTCAATTTCCATTCACTCAAATAGAAGTTCTGTAGGATGACACTTGAAACATACAAAGAAAAAAACTGTTTCCAAAAAATAAGGCCACCCTAATGAGAAATGTTTTTGGTAAGTCTTAAATTTTCTAAAAAATATATTACAAACAATGGGCCGTGCTTAACCTTACACTGTCCCTTTAAACATTTAGGTTGGTGTTTCCAACTTAGGGGCTTAAAGCCAGGCTGCTACATCCGTATCCAGGCACCTAAATAAATGGCTTGATTTTCCAAGCTTCCAAACTCTCACAGTGCCCAAGGAAGCTGCTGAATTCTCAAGAGCTTGGAAAAAGCAGATATCTTATTTAGGTGTCCAAATATGAATTAGGAGACTGAAATAGTTGCCTTTGTGTGTGTATGACTTGCTTGCACAGTTACTTAATTATCTAGGGAGAGAGTCTCTGTGATGTATATATTTTGAGATAGAACTAGAAGCTTTTAAATTGCTGAAAAATATACACCATTTCCCTATAATCTGTTTTGTAATAATCAGGGCTCCCTCACTAATGCAAAACAAAGTGCTAAATTTACAGTAGATCAGCTGTAATAAACTATCCTCCCCTGTAGTAATCAACAAATTCCTTTAGATTTCATCCTTTGGTACATTAGCAAAGTTACAAGAGACAGTTGAAAGTATGAAAATAATTCATTCTCTAATCGCATTTGAGCTCCAATATAAAACTCTCCCCGTTTAAACCAATATGGTAATGGTCCCAATCACAGTTAGGACTCAGATTGGAACAATTTAATTTGAAGGTGTAACACACTTTAATGTATAGTTTTAGAAAGGGTTTGTGGACAGCAAGCCTTTAAAAATGGGTGCCAAAAACTAGTCTCCTAAGCCAGGGGTAGGCAATAATTTTTATGGGGGGACCTCTCCAAGAATTTGGAAAGTGGTGAAGGGCCTCATTCTTCAATATCAATGGAAGAGGTGTGGGGTTTGGGATGGAGATTGGGTGCAGAAGGAAGCTTGCAGTAAGAGACGGGTGCAGGAGAAGGTGTGGGGTCTGGGAGGGAGTTTGGGTGAAGGAGGCAGGGAGTTTCGATGTGACCTTGAGCAAGAGGGGGTTTTGTGACCTGGGGAAAGGGACTAGGGTGTAGGAGGGGGTGGAGGGGCTTGGGGTGTGACCTAGGGCAGGAGTGGGTTGTGAGTTGGGGCATAGGACTGGGGTGCAGGGGTTTGAGTTGTGACCTGGGGCAGGGAATTGGGGTTCAGGATCTGGGAAGGGATATCGGTGCAGAAGGAGAGGCAGAGGATTTGGGTTGTGACCTAGGACAGGAGAGGGCAGTGACATGGGGCAGAGGATTGCAGTGCAGGATCTAGGAGAGGATATGGGTGTAGGAGGGAGGCAGAGGGTTTGAGTTAGGTGAAGTAAGGGGGGAAAGGGTTGGGATGCCAGAGGCAGGCTCTGGGTTGGAGGTTTACCTGCTTGACTCCCAGCCAGCAGCCTTCCCAAGCACAATCCCTGCCTGCCCTGCCCCTGCACTGGTTGCAGGTGTCTTGTGGTTGGTTTTTGAACAGCTGCGAGAGAGGGGAGGGGAGGAGGGTGCTTTGCAAGTTGCTTGTTGACAATAGGCAGCTCCCTTTGTCAGGAAACTGGCCAATTGGATTGTGCTTAGGGTGGGACCAGCGTGCAGACCCTTTCCTCCCTCCCCCAGAACTCACAGCTGTTCAAATAGCCCTGCAATGGCTACATTTCTCAGGAGTGTGTGGGGGGCAGGCAGGGAGTCTGTGGGCTAGATCTAGAGGTTTGGTGGGGTATTTTGCCCACACATGTTCTAAGATATACTTAGGTTCCTAAATGAGAGTCCAGATTTAGATTTTCAATGATCCTGAGCATGGGGACTTCAGTAGGAGCTGCTACATATGCAGCACCATTGAAAATCAGGACCCTTAATTAGGTGCCTACATAAGAATTTAAGAGATTAATTTTAGGCAACTTTTTGTTTTGATCTTGGTTCAGACCATAAGTGTAGACATAGTATTCACTGTCATAAATACTTCGTATAGATAAAAACTAAGAGAGCTAAACCAAAAGAAGCTTATTTAAATATATTTTTATGAATATTGTATAGCAGCAAGCAGAAATATTAAAATATCATACAATATTAATATTAAATATATTTTATATGAAATATTAAAATATTGTATAACAGCAAACAGATAACTCTAATGTTTACTTTATAAAACATCCTATGCAGAGTGATCAGATTTATAGATCATGATAATTGATTACATACATGTTGTAGATAGAGGAAACAGAAACTTTTTTAGTCTTTTGACTGTTGAGTGGGTAACAATGAATTTACTTGTTAGATTCTAACAGGTGAAGACTGGAATGCTGTGATGTATGATGGGATTATGGCATATGGTGGTCCATCGTCATCAGGAATGGTAGTCTGTATATACTTCATTATCCTCTTCATCTGTGGTAACTGTATCCTTTCATTTCTACAAGTGACATTTGCATTCCATGTAAGCATTTCGGAATAGAGCTGTGAATTTGTGCTTAAAAGGGACTGAACCACTATGACACTTAGGACATTTACCTGCCCTCTGTGCAACTGATTGAATCAGTGTGAACAGGAAAGCACATTTTCTGTACTGCATTTCTTCTAAACGGGTGCTCCCTCCTGCTCTCTGCCTCCCTTAAACAAATCAGACGCCTGCCAGCGAAGCATTACCATCTCACCACCTCTCTGACAAGAACTAGTGCATATTTGCCCCTTCTTTCTCAAGTGCACAGACAACCTCATTCTGTCTACTTGTCTTCTTTTGGCCGCCGTCCCTATTCTGATCCATAAAAGTGCTCTGACCTCCATGACAGCAATGTCTTATCCCAACCTTGTTAATTCTGACAGTGTCTGAACAAACAACAATGGATGGAAGCGGGTCACATTAGGGGATACAAGTTATATTTTAGGGGGTTCCTCGTAACAGGAATATGGAACTATTTGGGATTAGCTTTACCAAAGTGTTCACCCGCATGCTCTCGATCTTCCCAAAACTGTTCTTTGTCCTAGTATGGTATGTTTTAGTAGCTACCCAAAGTTCCAGTAAACTAACATACAGTTCTCCTTGTAATAAATGAGTAGTGAAAAGTTTAGGAGTCAATAGATATGGCAAAAATATTAGATTAATTTTACTATATTTTATATTGATATTCACACTTCATTGATATGGGTTGAAGTATGGAACTTGACATGAAATGTAGTGCACACAGAAAATATTGCAATGTAAAAAAATCAACTTTCGGAAGTATCTGATTTAGTATCTAAAATACCGAGTAGTAAGTGGAACTTGTCTATGCCTGTGTAAACTTCAGTTTCATTTCTTTTAAAAATTCACTTTATCAGTGACTAGTCTTTTACTGAGCAATCTGGTATATATTTTTGTTGCAATAAAATTAATAAGCTTAAAGCATCACTAGTGTAATTCTGTTGGCTTACATGGAGTTACAGCAGGCATTCATTTGGTCCAGTAAGTAAAGGTATTATAAGCACTGCATCCAGCTTTGTGAAGGTATACACTTAGTTTGGGAGCATGGGCTTTATGTCTCTCACACTGTCATTTTTTCATACTGATAAGGAATAAACTGAACACAGTGTGGTAACACATAATGTCCTTAATATTAATTGAATCAGATATCTTGCTAAATGTCTTTTTGGCCATTGCTGTGGATAACTTGGCAGATGCTGAAAGCCTGAATACAGCTCAGAAAGAAGAAGCAGAAGAAAAGGAGCGGAAAAAGAATGCCAGGTAAAACAGTAGTGGAGTGCTAAATGGGAGTTCAGTATTCACACACTTAACACGTGTATTTATTCCTTTATATGAATAGCTTGACAAGGTTCATAGAATATTAATTTAAGAGACAAGGACAGAAGATACCATACATATTAACAAAGACTAAACTGAAACTGATTTTAATTTAAATTTGGCCAAAGTTTTGGGATGATGAAATGAATTAAGGACATTGTGATAATCCATCTGAGGTTTAAACATTGAAGTATAAAATGAATGTGCAATTAGAACATAACTGAATCCCTAGATGTAAATGTGCAACTCCTGTTCAGACAAATTCCGCAAATTTTACATAGACAGCAAGCAAATCTTCAATTGAAATCAGTGTAGTCCCATGGAAGTCATAAGAGATGTGTGCATGAATCCAAGAACACAATTCATCCCTTAGTATGTCTATAAAGATAATGCATTATATTTTTAAGGGATTAGCTTCTGGAGTTGTACGTAAAAGGATAATCTGTTAAATGAATCTAGTGCACTGGGATGAAACCTACTTTATCACCTTTGTACATGGCATGTCTTCTTTGCTGCAAATGTCACTTCAAATCAAGTACCTGTACCTATAATTCCGTAGGCATAACCTCTTCATTTTTAATAAAAATGCTTAAAATCAGTTAAAATCGTTCTTTCATCAGTCTTTGCTTTTTACTTAAAAAAAAGTAGTTGTTTGTTTTTCTTTCTGTGTTGTTCTTTTTTTAGAAAAGAGAGTCTGGAAAATAAAAAAGGTAACAAATCAGAAGGTGACCAAAAGAAGCCCAAGGACAATAAGGTGTTTATTTCTATAAAATACTTTATCCTGTTTAAAAAGTGCCTCTGTTGTTTATGCTAATAAGGTCTTTTCAACACAGATGTGAACTATGTGATTTCTTTTGTAGTGCCACATATTTCTACTAAGTGTTTTTCCCTCACATAAGGGACAGGAAATTGTCAGTGCACATGATTTTCATCCTCACAGAACTGGCAAAGGGACCCCAGACCCTGCTATTCCCTGAGGTCCATGAAGTTTCAAACTCCCATAAAGGCTCCCGCAGCTCCTATGTATGCATAGCTCCTGGCGGAATGGCTATCTCTGCTCCTCGTGATGCTCTACAGCTTCACTGGGGAGAGAAGTTATAGAGCAGAACATCAGTAATGTTGTTGGGTTTAGCATAATCTTTAGCATTAGGCTTCTTGTAGATTTCTGCTGAAAGGCAATACTGAATGGTAAACTTCCTATAGAATTTTTAAAGCACTCCATGTAATTTCCATACTGGTTTTATTCCTATTACATTCTGCAGATCTTTTTGCCTAAGTGTAGAATCACAAAAATGTTTGTTGGGGTTCAAAAAACAGATGCTTTAAAAAGATTACAGCTTTCCTTTCTTGCTCACTTCCAAAGAAATCAAGCCTTCGAGGCTCTGTTGATACAAAAGAGTAAGAATGTACCTGGCTTCTCTGCTATTGGATATTTCATTTGTTTGATTTTTGGGGGGTATCATCTACATGCTTTGATTAAATGCTGAAGTTTAATTTTTTTCTGAAGTGTATTTTTGTCATTGTCATAGGTTACAATTGCTGAATATCGAGAAGGAGAAGATGAGGACAAAGACCCCTATCCACCTTGTGATGTACCAGGTATGCCAGCAAGACTATAAACATGTTTAAATCAGGACATTGAACTATAACTGTAGGGTCACATTTACCATTGCTGTGTCTTGATTCAATTCCTTTCAAGTCAGTGGAGTTGGACCCTCTGATGCCAGCAGTTATATTTGCTTATGAATGCAGTGCTATTTCTTTTTCTGTAGCCCATTTAGATAGTACACATTAAGTAATATAATTAAAATTGAAAATGGTCTAGTAGCACTTTATAGACTAACAAAATATGTAGATGGCATCATGAACTTTCGTGGCCACAGCCCACTGCCCACGTAAGCACATGATACCATCTACATGTTTTGTTAGTCTATAAAGTGCTACCAGACCATCTGTTGGTTTTTTTCTGTAATAGACTAACTTGGCTACCCCCTGAAGCTTCTGATAATTAAAATTGTCAGTCTGATAGCTATTCTAATAATATTTCTCTGGGTGTTGGGCAGAATCTGGAACTTCCTTGAAATGGGTAGATTACAAGGAAAATTTCAGAGCGAATGCTATTCATGCCCTGTCATCTTATGTGCTTCTGATGGCTTTCTGCAAATACACACTTCCGTCAAAAAATCAGGTTGCTTCTGTCTCACTGGCTATTACTTCCCACCCACTCTGTGAACACTTATTCTAGACACATCGACATTGAAGACAGACACTGGGATGTTAAGTAGCAGGCTGCAGTTTTATTAAACTTAATACAGGGGAAGGGCACTATCCACTTTGTTACCCATCTACCAGGCATTTTAAGTGGTTCCAGTGGAGGGGTAGGAGGGCTCCTATCATATAACCTATAGGACCAACAGCATTGCTGGACCTCCAGGCAAGGTGGAGGAGGGCATGGCTCTGCGTTCATAGGAGGGACGAAGTCTCAGACAAAACAGGCAGGCTGGGGAAGTCAGCCCTCAGTGCTGCCGTGCCTCCCCCAGCCCTCAGAGCTGCCTGCAGCACACCATGCAGAACTCTAGCAGCAATTTAAAGGGCTTGGGGCTTCTGCCATTGCCAATGTCACAATAGCAGTAGCGGTGGCTGGAAGCCTCAGGCCCTTTTGAATCACCAGACCCTGGGGCACTTTCTCCTTTTGCCCCTCGCCCATCAGTGGACCTGCATATAACCCACATGTTAGGATAGATTCTCCTCAGCCTACCCTTAGGACTCAGTTTGCTCTTCTGAATCATTTCACACACCCCAGGAAGGGGCTAGATTATATTTAAATGGGGATGGAGGAAGATCTTGATTTGTGAGGGCCACAATGTGTCCTCCTATCCCATGCATGCAAGGCCCCTCACCAAAATCCCATGTTTTTTTCTTCTGGGAACAGTCCTTTTATCCTTTTCACCAAAGCTACTGGTCCACCAGTTGCAACTAACTAACATCCCTCCTTAGTACTACTACTAATGACTGAATTCTGTTCCTGTTAAATCTAACTATGCTGCTGTGCTGGAGGTAGGTGAAACAATCCACTAGGTCTTCACCGATTTGGCCCTAATAGGAAGAAAATATTCCTTTCTGACCCTCAAAGCAGGGAGGCACTTGGTCACTTCCAGCATGTACTGTCCTTTCCTTTTCAAATGGGGCTGTCCCAATAGCTACCCATCAGATTTTCTACCCACTGACGCAGCTAATTTACATTAAAATTGACCATTGTGCAAAGTCTTTTTACTTGAACTTTATACACAGAGAAGTGAGAGGTTATGGGATGGGTGAAGGAAAAACCACCAACCATTGTGAAAATTAACTTAAGGCAACTACCGCTCTCCGTCTAAGGTGTGGTAAGGACTTTGAATCACTACACTGACTTTCAATAGGAATTAGGCACTAAATGACCATGAAAAGCCACCTAAAGAGTCCCTTTGGTTTGTAAATTGGTTAATGAAGGATATGTCTCTGACACCCATGTGAATGCTTGTATATTAATTAACAGATTTTAATGCCATCTGTTAAATATATATTTTAGTACAATCAATAATTTTATATTGTTATGAACAAAAATGTAATCTCTTTTTATTTTATAGTAAAAAAGTGTTTAATTTAAAGTAGGTGAAGATGAAGAAGATGAGGAAGATGAACCAGAGGTACCAGTTGGCCCACGTCCCCGAAGAATATCTGAACTAAATATGAAAGAGAAGATAACACCGATTCCTGAAGGGAGTGCCTTCTTCATTTTCAGCAGCACCAACCCGTAAATATTGCCTGTATAAATACCACTTCTGTACCTTGAGACTTCATAACTGAAGATCTAATTTTGCCCTCATTGAATTCCAGGGCAGGACTCCCATTAACTTCAGTGAGAGCAAGACCGGACGTTAGAGAATTCATTAAATACATGAATTTAGTTCCATATACCCTTGCTGAGATAGTGGTATATTCCAAAATTCAGCATTCAAGATAATAAAAACAATCAAAAGGAAAACAATAAAAGCTAAATGCTTCAGGGAATTGGGATTAGGATATGGAGCCTTTGGATAGTATGAAGAAAGCTGTTTTGTTAATCAATGGAAACTGACCATTTACTGTACGATTGTGCATGTTAAGCGAGTAGAGTCACCATCAACAGAATTGGCAACCTCACTGGCAGTGTCAGCATAGAAATTAAAAACTGACTTGGCTTAGGGACAGAGCTACCATCTCATCATTAGAGGTCCTTCTAGATCTAGTTTGAGGAACATTTGTGGAGCAGTATGTGGGGCAGTTTGTTCTACTGCTGCCCCGGTTGAAATGATTCGGTTAATAAATAAATAATAATATATCCAACTTTAAATTAATACATATAAACCCTTTTGCCAGATTTCCAATTATGTTGAACATCCACAGATCTTACTGGTGTCATAGGTGTAGCCCAAAGTCATTATGTTAAAATCCTCTCACACACCAAAAATTGTGATGACTCTTGCAAGGAACAGTAGGGGTACAGCTAGACTACAAGTTTTTGTCAGAAAAAAGTACACTACGCACTTTGCATACCTTTTTCTGATTCTTTTGTCAGAAGAGGCTTTTCAGACATTTGGACTGTCTAGACTGAGACAAATGTCGGAAAAAAACCCCTCTTTTGGAAGCCCCCTTCGTCTTCATAGAATGAGGAATACAGGGGCTTCCGAAAGAGCACGTTTGCTTTTCTGCAAAAAAAAAAAGCGGAAGAGCAAACACATTTCTTGGACGTGGCGGAGTTTTTTCCGGTATCCCGAAGACCCCCCATAGTCTAGCCATACCCTTAGATTGGTTTGTGGCTTTTCCTTCTAAGTGAAGTAGGTAGCTTCTGTTATCATGGCAGGTAATTAGCATGATCAGAACATACTGAGATCCTCTATTGACTAACAAGAGAAAAGATCCCTTAAAAACTTACTGAATCCTCAGAGGAAGCTTTCAAATCTATTTCATTTTGCTGATTCTGCTTTACAACTGATATGAACTTGGAGTAACTTTACTGAAGTGTTCAGCTGGTCTGAGACAAGAATTGGATCTGATGACTAATGCTGCGAAAAGGTGAAATCATCTTTACATGGTGGCTTCCTAGAAGCAAGCACAATCTTGAAACAGCTGGTAGCCTCATTAAGAAATTCTGGTTTGACTAGAGTCCTGAAGTATCTAAATGAGACATTGAGTCCAGTCCAACTCCCGCTCAATTTGGGAATATTTTTATTGGCTTTAATGAGAATTGGCTCGGACTCATTGAGCCTGAAATTAAGGCTATACTGCTGCAGAGGAATATCTGCTAGTATGGACTGTGGTAGAGTCAGTCCTAGACCTCTTTGTCCCAGACCCCTATTCCATCCACTATTCCACAGGTTAGGGGCTGCGGTACTAGTCCCCCTTGTCTTTTCTGGCATTTGAGCGTCTGTCTCTCGGAAAAAAAAAAGAGGTGTTGGGGCTGACACCCGTGGTCAGTCAGGGCTGAGTAAGCAGCCCTTCTTAGCTACCAACTGAACTCTCTGGCCGCTTGGGGGAAAGGGAGTCTCCAAACACTCCCTGTCAGAGCCCTGTCACCTCCCCATGTGGTCTTTGGCAGTGCTGATATTGTCCTGCTCAGCTTCTCTGACTCTCCTTATCAGTTGTTAGTTCCTCTCTACTCTCCCTACTCCTCCATTCTTCTCTGCCCTCCCCCACAGGGAAGCTTTTTAAAGAGGTTCTGTGGCAGCCGGAAATCAGCTCACCTGGCCCTTAATTCATTTATAGCAGCCCTGCCTCAGTTGCTCCTAATTAACCAGGGCCTTGTTGTTTTGTCTTTTTCCAGAGCTGTCTCTCTCCCCTTCTATCAAGCCCTTTAACCTGGCCTAAAAATACCAGCCTTTGCTTGTACACAACGGGGACTAAAGCTGAGATTTTAAAAAGAAACCTAGAGGAGTTAGTCATCAAAATCCCATTGGAAATCAGTGAGAGCTAGGAACCTAATTCCCTTAGCCTCCTTTAATAATACCTGCCTCAAAGTCTATGGACCAGATTCTGAAATCCTTCACCAGAATTTAAATCAGATCAGTTTATCTAGATTTATCTTGGTGTGTCTGAAAACTGAATCTAGCCCTGGTCTTGGAATTGTTACTGTAATTCTTGGCCGAGAAGCTTAGAATACTGGCTAGATGTGACCCCTGCCTGCTGTGAATTATTTACACACATTGTGTATTTTATTGTCTTTTTTTTTCAGAATTCGAGTGGGATGCCACAGACTCATCAACCACCACATCTTTACCAACCTCATCCTTGTCTTCATCATGCTCAGCAGTGTTTCCCTGGCAGCAGAAGACCCAATTCGCAGTCACTCTTTTCGAAATAACGTAAGTAAAAATATGTGTGGCTAAATCTACTTCAATGTTTAACATACTGTGCCCTCCTTCTGGCTAATAAGTAATCATTTTGCTTATTTTTATAGTGTAGACCTACATAGGGTTGCCAGATGATTTCAACAAAAATACCAGATACACTTGACATTACATAACAATTTACATGACATCTTATTTAGAAAATACCAGACATTTTTATTTTCTTGTTTATATTTTCTCAATTTGTTTCCCAAATAGAAAGCTCAAATACTGGACTGTTCGGTTCAAAACCGGACACCTGGCAACCCTAGACCTACATGTTAGCACATTTTAACTACTCTGCATGTATTTCTCTCTTTTTTTTGCTCTCTGAACATAGTAAAATGTTAAATATTTTACAATTTTACATAGAATATCACACTGTTTGTACTGCCTATACTAACTAGCACAGATCCCTTTGAAAAGTAATGCATGCAACAGAGACGTATTTTAATTCCAAAGGAATTTTACTTTTTATCTGTGTTGATGATGTTATGGGCCTGATCTTTTCTCATGCAAATGGTCTTAGTTATTTCAATTACCCGTATATTGGTGGCAGGATTAGGCCACATATAAATAAAAAAATTATCCAATGAACAATTTAATTTAAAAAATGTATGATGTGAAAAGCAGAACATTTTAATTCATTTTTAAAAGTGTTATTTGAATCTGTTTTTCACTATGTTTTCTACTTATAAATGTACATTATACACCCTGACCATGAAAGAAAAAGGTGGTATAGGTTCGACCTCCCTAGTTCGGCACCCTTGGGACCTGACCAGTCCCGAACAAGACAATTTGCCGGACCATGAGAGGTCCCCTGCCACCAGCCCCCTGTCTTTCCCCACCGCTGGCTCTGCTTCTGGCCCAGCTGGCCCTTCTGCCTCCGGCCTGCCTGGGCTGCCAGTCTTGGCTGAGCTGCCAGATGACACGCCCCATATCGCTGGCCCCGGCCGGGCTGCTGGTCCACTAGCCTCTCTACAACCAACCCCAGCCTCACTACCCTCATCTCCGAGCACCAGCTGAGCTGCCAGACTTCAGCCCTGGCCCCACTGCCACCGGCTTCAGCCCCAGCTATGCTGTCGGATGCTGGCCCTCCTGCCACTAGGCTCCTATCCCCAGGGCTCTCTGATCCAAGAACATCCATGGTCCTGCCTATGAATAATAATCTCTTCTTTTATATATGAACGAGTTATCTTATGGGATGCCAAAGACATATGGGCAGCCCCATCAATTTTGTACATGGAGTTATTCATACATTAACAACGCAATACTGTACAACAGCTGCAGCCTGATATTTAATTATCAGCTTGATAATTTTTCTTTCAAATATATATATATATATATAGCTAAAAAATTAAAGCAAAAGAATTTTTGTTAATGGAGTTCCAGGGTTGTTAATGGAGTTCCAGGGTTGATTACAACTATTATATATGAACACAACTTCTCTTTGTTGGCTTTTAAAGTCTTGAAATAAATTTAAGATCAAATCATGTGACAGTTATCTTCTCCTAATTCTGCTTTTAGAGCTGTACCCATTTTGTAGCTGTTCAATTGTTATTGGTGCCTTTGGAAATACATTTTTCAACATATAGCAGTATGGATTTGCATGTTTCTACAAGGGTTTATTTTGCATCACGCTGTAGTATTTTTCTAACAGGTATGTAGAGAGTAAATCCATCAAGAGTTAGCAGGAAGAGTACTTAACTCACAAACTTGAGATTTATGACCATGGGTTATGTTCCCTGTTCTCTCTAATTTGTTCTGTTGCCATAGGCAAGTCAATCACCATCTCTGTAACTGAGTTTATCTTTTTGAAAAATGAAGCTAACCTCTTATTTTTATAAAGGAATTTAGATGCTCAGTGCCCTAAATATTAAATAGATAGATTAATGCCTTAGCTTAATTAATATTGTAAGTGCTTTGGGGTCAGTGGAATATATAAAAAGAAGCATTTATTTTATTGTAATATAATAGATTGTAAAAATCTTCTTATAAGCATGATATTTTGATCATGATATGTTAAATATTTCTTTATTAATGTCTACCACTGAACAAGCACAGTGTTACATTTTAAAAGATGTTAGAGGCAAACTACCCTTCTATTGCCATATTATTTAAAACTGTACAGCTTATGTAAATAGAACATTTAGGGCACATTTGTGTCAATGGGTGAGATAAGAAAGAGAGCATTTTCCCATCCAAATATCTACAACTACATGGCTATGATTTCATGTCCATTCCAAATTCATTAATCAGCAAACTGCAGTACTTGGCAGGATTGAGAATCCCATAGAACTTAACATTCTAAAATCCATAACATACTAAACATTTTGCAATACCCACAAGTAGCAAAAACACCAGGCCCTGAGAGTTTCTGAGCACCTGCAGATCCTAGTGATGTTGGAGCATTTGACTCTTGTTGGTACACACTTGTCTGCTGGTGAAACATGACAGATGCCAACATTGTTAGTATCAGAATCTTTTTTCCGATTGTCTAGAAACACTATTGGGGAGTTTGGGATTTTTCTTTCAGAGGAGGAAACTCTTTGATCTCTTTTTTGTTGTATTCCTGTGTGACCATAGAGAAATCATAACTGGCTGGCCCATCAGTCAGTGACAGACATGGGGCATTGAGTGATGAGGCAGTTTAATGGGTTTGGAAATTGAGCTTTCAAGTTCATGTCATATACAGGGAGACAGACACTTAAGAAAACTAGAAAAAAGCCCTCAATACCCTCTGAACTTACAGGTAAATACTTTGCTAAACAATAACTTTTCACTTCTATGATTTTGTGTAAATCTACAAAGAAGTCTGAGAAGCTTAGAGCAAGAATGATTAATGAATTGAATTTGTTCTGTTTTTGTTTAAAAGTACTACTCTGCTGCAAGGGTGCCATCTATAGAGTACTAGCAGGGACAGTAGACTCTCCCACTCCTCCAAGGTTGGAACCCCTGGATTTCATACTTCAAGTCTGCTTAAAGCGGCATGCCTTGACTCCAGAGGTAGTTCTTAAATGCAACAGAGTTTGAGCTTTGGGATAGGGGGTTTGTTATTTAACAAAAAAGAGAGGCAAGTGATTAAGAGTAACAAAAGTCTGGGTATTCAAGTAATTGAAGGATCTTTAGATTATCATTAAAACATTGCCCAGTACTCCACTTAAAAGATTGAGGGGGGGGGGGATAGGAATGAGTGTTGTGCTGTTGAGTTTTGCATTTGGATTACTGTGTTAAATTTACAAATGTTCTTGAAAAAGGGGTGAACAGGGATTCAATCCAAAATTGACTGCAAAGAGCTATAAAGGGATTTCACAAAACTGGGTGATTGGGCAACACAAAGGCAAATGGAATTCAGTGTCGATAAGTGCAAAGTAATGCACATGGCAAAATATAGTCCTAACTATGCATACAAAAGAGCTGTTATCACTCAAGAAAGAGATCTTGGAATCATTGTGGATAGTTCCCTGAAAACATCTGTTCAATGTATAGTGGTAGTTTAAAAACTAAAACAACTAACAAAATATTGGGACTCATTAGGAAAGGAATAGATAATATGACAAAATATCATATTGCCTCTACATAAAGTCATTGTATGCCCACATCTTGAATACTGTGTGCAGATCTGGTCACCCCATCTAAAAAAAGATATATTGGATTTGGAAAAGGTACAGAAAATGCAACATAAATTATTAGAGGTAAGGAACAGCTTCCATATGAGGAGAGATTAACTAGACTGGGGCGTTTCATCTTGGAAAAGAAATGACTAAAGGGTGGGAGATATGTTAGAGGTCTAGAAAATCATGAATGGTGTGAAAAAATAGAAAAAGGAAATGTTATTTATTCCTTCACTAACATAACAAAAGAAGTTGACCCAATTAAATGTATAGGCATCAGATTTAAAACAAAATAAATTATTTTTTCACAATCATCTTGTGGAACTCTTTGCCAGGAGATGGTAGAAAGGCCATCTTGTGGAACTCTAACAGGGTTCCAATAAGGATAAAATAAGTTCAAGGAGGCTAGGCCCATCAATATCTACTAGCCAGAATGGGCAGGGAAGGTGTCCCTAGCTTCTGTTTGCCAGAAGCTGAGAATGGGCAACAGGGGATGAATCGTGCTGATTGCCTCTTCTGTTTATTCCTTCTGAAGCATCTGGCATTAGCCACTATTGGAAGACAGGATACAGGGCTAGAAGGACCATTGGTCTGACCCAGTATGGCCGTTCTGATTTTCTTATATAGAGCTGAAATGTATCTGCCCACTTACGTAACCTATTATAACTCACTCCCCTTCCAGAGCTGAGAAAGAGCCAAGTAGTCCTGATGGGATGTTTCTCCACAGAGTTTGTAACAAAGTAAGAATGTACATTAAAATTTTAAGGCTAACCAGTGTGCCTTAAGTGACTTGCCAGAAGATGTCAGAATGTTAGTTTTAGAACGGAGTGGGTCTCATATTTATATTTTCTTTCTTTTATGTAGGAATTAGATACTGTGCTCCTGTCAGCTAACTGCTAAGTTGTCTTCCAAAAAAAGTAGAGTTCTCCAGTACCTTGGTAGCCTTTGGATAGAGATGATGTGTTTAGGGGGAGGGTGGATGGTGTTGTCCCCCCTCCCCTATTTGGTGCTTGGTTTGTACTGAGCATGATGAGTTACACTGCTGAAGCCTCTGTCCTCAGTCTGCCCCCCATGCTCTCACTTTCCTCCTCCTCCCCCATCACGGCATGCACAGATAGGCCCCCTCCCACCAAAATCTGAAATGGCGCCCCTACTTTGCTGCATTATTTCAGAAATGTTTAGTTTTCATTTAGTGTTATGGGAACAAGCAGTTCATACACGTAAAACTGCCATTTCTCTTTTTCCATGTGTTTTAGAATCACAATGTATAATACAATACATGGCAAAGATATCTGGTTTTTTTAAGTTATATGTGGTAACTTCTGATTTACATTTGTTCCGTATGTGCAGTTTTTTTCTCTTTATAAAGAATGCAGAACACCTAACTAAGTGAAGTTCCATGTAATTCAGATGTATCAGAAAAACTTTGCAGATAAACCAAAATATAAGCTTTATGCATGTGCATTGAGGGAAGAATAGACCACCATAGTACATAAAAAGAATACAGCTATCAGATCTTCTTCTGTATTCCCCTTGAAATCACCACTACAAAGCAGTTAGGTTGGATGTGATATTTTTTTCTGCTTAAGTAATTTTAAAATAATAACCACAGTAAATAAAAACAACCACTATAGTTCTAGGCAGCTTTAAGGCTCCTATGTATAAATGGGTAGGTGACCTGTAATCCAACACAAAATTTATTTCATTTGTTAAGTAAACAGCGATGTTATCTGAAAATGGCTCCCTGTAGCTGAAACAAGCATTGTGCCTACCTGGAGTTGTAGCTGTACTCTTGAGTTTGTCAGGTGCTTCGCCTGGCACTCATACCAGGGTGATGGGTAACCTTCTACAAACTTAATTAGACACACAGAATGCATACTCAGGCCCAATATCATATCTCCTAATATTTCATTAGTGCTGCATATCTAGTACTAGTGGTGTCATAAAGAAGAAGCCCTTCATCTTACTATCAACTTTGTACCCTTTATAGATAAGAAATTGCTACAAAGAAGAAATGTAAAGAAACAACCTCATAGGGAATATCATATGGTGAATTTTGAGGGGTAATGACTGAGGTTATATCACCAAGTCCCTTCTTTCACTTACATGTAGTTTTATGTACAGAGGCTGCTTTGTGGTTGCAAAGCCTCTACAAACCCTGCAGAAGGAAGATGGGGCAGGATCAGAGGTGGATTGAATAGAGGCCCTGATCTCTTCCAGGCTTCTGCAAGTGCATATATTTGAAGACTTGCAGCAGAGACTCTCAGAACCCAGGTCAACCGACTCGGGATTATGGGGCTAAAAATACAGTGTAGACATTCAGGTTTGGGTGAGAGTCTGGGCTCTGAGACCTATTGGACCAGGCTGTGCAGCCTGAAGAACTTGGCTCTTGATATTATAAAAAAAAAGTTAAAAAATGTTTTAACTTTGTTTAGAGGTAAACAGAAGAGTGTGTGTGTGTGTGTGCGCGCATGCATGCACACACACACACACACACACACACTCTCTTGGATTCCTTCATAAAACGTTCAGTGGCAATATGTGCTCCTTCTACCCATGAAGTCTGGGTAAATATATTCTTATAAATAAATCATACTAACTGATAAAGAAAAGATAATAAGTAGCAAATTCTTACTCTAGAAACAGTGTGAAGGGCTGAATACTGTTCTTTTACATCTAGAAGAGCACTGAACAGGTGTACCTCTTGAACAGACAGGCTGTAAAGGGTTATCTCTCTGCATGGGACACGGAGAGCATGCCTGAGGGGAAAGGAGACGGGAACAGGCATGCTACTTTCCTTTACTGCAGAGATGCACAGAATGTTGTACCCATACTCCTACCTCTGTGAATGTTCTGGGTTTGATCACCATAGACAACCATGCTGTCTGTACCTATGCTACCATAGCTCATTATATTAGTAAGAATGCAGGGAGAGGGGTAGGCTGCCTTGGCTATATCGCTAGCCCAGCAAGCTATACTTTCTCATGGCATGTCTCCAGTGTGGGACAAGGTTTAATTAAGATACGCAACTTCAGCTATGTTAATTGCGTAGGTGAAGGCAAAGTACCTTAACTTGGCTTTTGGCGCTGTCCACACTGCAGGAAGCTGCAGTAAGAACACTTTCCCTTCAAATTCTCTTACTCTTTGTGGAAGCAGGACTACCGGCATCAACCAGCTCCGCTAATCCAAACCCTGGAAGATTGACAGCGGCAGCTTTGATCATTCTCTGTAGTGTAGATGTACCCTGTTCAGTGTGCTAGCTGACCAGCTCAAAATGTGCTACCCCCAGCATTTTGTCTAGCTTCAGTACAGATATACTGAATGGAAAG